TGATCTTACATCTGTCCCATATCATCAACCAAACCATAAGCCTGTTTATTATCCCCAGCAATGTTCTTAGACTGTAAAATATAAGACTCCTGTCTCGTCTGTAATCACCGTATCTAGTCTGGAATAGTTTGACATGATGATGACTGGAGAGAGATGCCTCCAGGGCTCAGCATTTTAAATGGCAGCCACCCCCCACCCGGAGCATCAACTCCATAATTTCATCTGGAGATCAGTGCCAGCGACAGCCAACATGGTGGACCACCAGCTTGTTATCCACAGAGGTTTACAGCTGCAGGAGAACCTCCTTGTCTTATTCTCCCTGTTTGGTTTTTAATGCGTATGTGTTCCACAAGGGAGAGAAAAAAAACAGCAGCTGGAAATGAAATAGAAATGTATTTCTTGTTTGGATCACGATGAAGCCTCTGGGGATCAGTCTGATCATGAATGAGGTTTGTTTCGGTTTTCTGTGAGACGCTGAGTGTGAGTCTCCCCCTTCGTTTACTCTTGAAATACTGTGTGCGCGTGAGATTTACACCTGTGACATAGGTGAGCGCTGCAGGGGGAAAAAATTACAGCTGCACATTTAAGAAATAACTGCACTGATCAAAGGTGCACAGACGGGGAGCGGCCCTGGGGTGCTCGAGGAGGAGGAAGAGGGGGAGGGAGAAACAACAAAGAGGCTCTCAGGGGAGAGAGGGAGATACAGGGACGAGACTGCTGGGAGGAAGGAAATAAGCAAAGAGTATAGTGAGGAGAGCGTCGTGAGTAACTGAGAGAAAACTGGCAGATGCTGGATGTGACATTAGAAAACTGTCTCCACTCCATAGCAGAGTAAATGAACTGGGTTGATTCCTAATTGCTGCACATTAAGTGTAGAAATGTTTCGTGTTCAACAAACAACATTGTTGCATCAATTAAAACAGGAAACAGCGGTTGACTTCGTAATACTCCACGATGAGATTAAATGAGCAGCTTTGTTATATTGGAGATTTTGTACTACAGCATACTTGGTCTGATGAGATGGACATGGTGCCTAATATAAGCAAACCAAAACACACACAAACAACATTGTTGTGTAAGTGACATCACAATCTTCTCTCGTGTCAGTTATTTTGTGTTTCAGTGTGTCCCAGATGAAAACTCGATTTCGAATAAAACAATCATTTGGAACTTTACAATACAATATTCTGACTTTTATTTTGAAAACGTATTGTTTTGCATTTTAAAAAGGTAGATAGAGAAGATTGCATTTTCACCTGAAGTGCAATTTAACCGTTATTTTTAGCCGCTCTTCTTAAAAACATCAACAGCAGCCTCAACCCAGAAATCTCTTCATTACTTGTAATGAGAACCACCCACTAGGTGAGACATGGGGGAGCTGTGTGGGAATGTGTGAACTCTGGGTTGCCGGCATTCCTCCACAGCCCCATGGTTGTTTGGTTCATAAAAAGTCACGTGCATGGGATTTATACTGGCTGCACACCACATCTAACGAGTACTTTGTTATTTTTAATAATGTCTGTGGGTCTTAATTGGTCATTAAAGAAGAGAATAACATTTCATACTCTCCTTTTATAGCATTTGTTAGATGTCCATTGTTTATTCCTTCTACTGCAGTATATCTAGGAAGTAACTTAGCAGATGTTGCTATTTACAGTCGGAGCGCTGTCAGCAGTGATGACTCAGTGAGGGAAAGTTTACGCCTGCTTTCATAGATGGATATTGAAGTGAGTAGACCGGGCGACTGCGCTGCCTTGCAGAGGAAAAACATGACTGGGCTGAGCTGTGTGTTTGTGTGCATCACATTGTTGGTTGTTTCATACTTGTGACTCTGCACTTTTTCAGTGAGCCCTGATGACAGAGCAGGTTTTACAGAAGCAGCTTGGACTGCACATGCACAGATCAGCTGGTGTGGCTCGGTGTAATATAGTGAGCTTGTCATAAATACCTTGAAGGAGCTATAGTATACTTACATGCACCTCAGAGTTAAACCCATAACTGCAGGCTACAGTGTTGTATAGTTGTGTCACTCCTTTTCACCTGATCTAACTATGATGTCATGTAAAGTGTGTGATGTGTGGCCTTTATGTGTGATTAGCTTTAGAAACAGGTGATGTCATACAGTCTCCTCTCACCATGTCACTTGACCTGCTTATTAACGCAACAGATTTCATATACACTGGTTTTATCTTTAGATTTGGATCTGATCAGCTAGACAGCACAGAGGTTTCAAATTCAAGTTTTTATGTTGTATGTTGTATGTATGAGAATTATTATTATCATACTTCTTCTTCAGTCATCGGTCAGTTATTGTGAGTTCACGTTGTGTAGGAACAGTCTTGGACTGAGAGATTCACGTGAACACTATCTAGAGTAAGTTCAATAAAACTGAATTGAATTAAGACAGCAGTTTCTTCTTTTGCACACCTTTCACATGCTGACCCCTGTGACAGTTTAAATCTCTATGAGGTGGTTGGCTTGGATTTGAGAGGATTCTCTGAACGTTGCCGTGGAGTCACTGTCACCTCCAAACCTCCCAGAGGATGGGTGGGTGTGGGGTTTGTTGTTACGCTGGTGTCAGGAATCGTGGGTGGTACGTAGCTTTCAAGGGCCGGTATTTGTTCATCTGCCTTTTGGCCACGCTGGCTCAGTTTGGATGAGAGCAGCTCAAGATTCAAGCTGTTACTTCTCCCAGTGTCCATCATGAGAGTGAGTACGAGCCAGAGTTTCTCAATTTCTCAATTCTTTTCTTTTAGGATCACATTGAATTTTATTTGCTGTTAATTTTTACAGGCTAATTTAAGAAATGAGAATGAAATGGCTACTTGCGATCTTTGAGAACATGTTTCTCAGAAGTTTACCATGGCAGAATTAATAGGATTAAACTGCAGAGGCTTATTGAACCACTGTGAAACCACATTGTTTCCAACTGGGACATTGGAGCTTGCCATCTTGTCAAAAGTTTTGGATTAACACACTGACCTGTTGTACCAACTTGTTCTAGGCTCGGAGAGCTAATGATATCTACAGAGAGGCCTAGAGAGACTTATAAAATCTACATCAGAACATTAAACATTCTTCTGACGGTTAAAAAAAAAACCCAAATGAGAAAACAGACAATATGGGATTCATGCAAATCTGTCAGCATGCAGTTGTCAGGTGTCAAATTTGATGCTGCGTCAAGTTGATTTACGATGAGACCAAACACGCTGAATGGTTTAAAGTGTGTCTGTGATGCTTCTACTCATCCACCATACAGGTTTGTTACCCCGGAGGCTGTCTGGCAAACACAATGATGGAGCTGGCTCTCAGAGACAGGCATCAGAACGCTAAATGGTCTAATCTATGTGTACGTTCAAGCAGATGTTGAGTGGGAGGACTCGAGAGTAGTTGTTGACTTGCCAGAAAATGTTTGAAGTTTGACTCTGTTTCTAGAGTAATGCTGTTCTGCAGCCCGAAGGGGGTCTTTTACTCCCACCCACTCAGCTAAAATCGGACTGGTCCCAGATTACAGGTTAAAACCAGCTCATCCTCATGCAGATGCTCGCTCAGTGGGAACGTTACGCTGAAAAGACGACGCACCAGGCTTGTCAAGTGTTTCATCACAGCAAGAACCAGAATGTAAAGTAACAAAGTGCCTCTTCAAAAAGGGAGGTGTGTGTTAGTGTTATAGTTTGAGTTGTCAGTTGTATGAACATTATGCATTTTTAAATTTGACCGTTTTATACCTGACAATTACAGAAATCCCTAAACTTAATGCATAACAAACATAGTCGACTAAAAGTGTGTCCACTAAAGATCTAACGTGTCACAAACCTCCATATCCTCATATCGCAATACAGGAGAATGGAACCAAGCTACCGCAACCTGCTGCCCTCTACAGGCAAACTATAATATAACTATAACACATGTAAATTATGCAGTTATTATTTTATTTGATGTAAGGCCAAGCTGTATTTTAATTTAGCAGTGGTGGAACATTTGTTTGTCTTCAACATCCCATCAAAAAGGAAAAAAATAATACGAACAGAACGGCGGATTGAAGATCGAGGTCTGAACTAAACTGGAAAACCCCTAGTGTCTACTCAACTTAAAAAACTGCTTTTGGTCTGCACACTACACAATCACTGCGTAGACCTAACTTTTCTGCACTTAGCGGAATCAACACGTAGTAGTCAGATAACGGAGCACAGGAGTCAGTTATTTCTGAAGTTGATGTGTGATGTTGGTCTGCGGGGCTCTGCAGACGCTCTGTCTGCAGCTGACGTTTTAGGGTTCAGAGGTTACTCTGCCGGCCTGGACTGCCAGGGCCCCTGAAGGTGGGCTGACCCCTCCGTAGAGACAGCTGGACAACCAAGTCTCTGAGTCTGAGTCGCAAGCAGCGCCCAAGAGAGAGCATTGTGTGAAACGCTGTGTTGTTTCAGGCGTGAGAAGAGTCTTGATACTTCATGTCTGCTCTGAATGAAACCGAGGCTGGTTGGCAAATCTTTCATTCTAGAGTCAGATCACCAGTTTGGGTTTAATATTGATGTGACAGTGGTTAACTAGTTAACTAGTCATAGGGAGACTCGACTTGATGGTAGCACCTGCAGCTTGTGTTTGCTTAGGTGACCGATCAGCACTCAAGTGTTGTTAATGGTCAATGTGCTGCTGCATCATCCACGTTCTATGGAGCTTCAGCTTTTGTGGTAACTCAGAAGAAGTTTTAAGACAAATGTATGCAGAAATCCTGGTATTTTCAAAGAGCTCACTTGCTTGCCCACAGGAAAGAAGAAAGCATTCATATATTCTCTACCAGGGCTGGTTCTGATGTAGCAAATGAAGCTAATGCTGACAATACAGCATATTTTATGTTCAAGCACAGGTTTAAGAGTGTGTGTAAGAGTTGATGTTGCTATGTTTTAAAAAGCCAAAGGAAAGAGATGTGAGAAAGAGAGATTTGCTGTTCTCCTTTGTTTTAAACCTTTTAACCATTTGCTTGTCTTTGTATTTCGCCACAGGAGAGACAGAGGCTAGAGACCATCCTGAACCTCTGTGCTGAGTACAACAAAGGAGAGAGCCCCGGTCTGGACCCTCTAGGCTCGGGGAGGACAGGTTTCCCAGGGGGGCCGGCTGATGGCTCCGGGCAGAGAACGTCCGTGGAGAATGTCCTCGGAGGGACAACGTCCTCAGCTGCGCTACGCCTGGCACAGAGGCTGAGGGAGAGCGACGAGGAGAATCTGAAGGAGGAGTGTAGTAGTACAGAGAGCACTCATCAGGAGGTGAGGGCATCTCCTGCTGCCAGCACAGCATCAGCACTGCACAATGGAGACAGACAGGTCAGGGGGAACGCATGTTTTCCACCGAAGACGCTCTCTCTGCATGCCGCTGTGGAAACCAGCATGTGCCAGTGATGTGCTCGACTCAAACCTAAATCCATGTTACAATAGTACAAAGTTAATGGGTCAAAGTTCAGTCTCTGAACAAATGTAAATATAACTGTAGATAGTTTCTGCATTTGTCAAAACATCTGCGAAAGAAAACACACAATCAGCTTCTTCCTGCACCTCCTTCTCATTTCCATAAAATTGGCTTTCATGGGCTGTTTGTAAAAAGTCTATGTGGCTTCTGCATGAACCTTATTTATCAACCAACTCCTTTGTTCCAGCTCCTGTGTTTCATATGTCTAAGTTTCTTAATGCTTCTTTAAGCTGTCATATAATAGATCATACATTGTGCTATCATCCAACAAAGTTTTATTGATTTCATCCAACGATTTTTGCACTGAATTGAAAAAGTAGGATACAAAATCTGCTTAATCAACATTTATACCATCAATACCCTCCGGAAACACAAAACACTGCGGAAGTAATAACCCTGATTTTAATATAAAAATTAAATGAACATATAATGGTACTCAGTAGTAATAAAAATAAAAAAGTATTTACTGACTTCACTTCACTTCCTTTCTTGAAAGTCTGACCTCCTCTGTTCTCTCTCCTTGCAGCACGAGGACTCCTCCAGCTCCGGCAGCACCGGTCGTCTGGAGCTGGGCTACCTGGTGGAAGAGCGGGTTCGCGTTCTTGCTCGCATCGATGAGCTCAAAACCCGACTGACAGAGCTAGAGCAGCAACTCCAGGAGTCTAAACAAGAGGTAGTGTTTAACCCCTTCAGTCTAAACGCAGCTTAGAGAATAGAAGTAGAAGCGTACAGTCCGTGGTCACAGTATTGTAGAGGTGTGGTGATGTTGTTCTGTGGAGGGCTGAAGCTCAGGCCTGCAGGTGTGACTCTGTCTGACGCTCTCTTCCAGGCTGAGATGGAGCGTGCCTTGCTGCAGGGCGAGAGGCAGGCGGAGCACGACCAGATAGAGGCTGAAACAGACATCGTCACTCAGCTGCAGCGCAAACTGGATGAGCTGGAGAGCGCCATCCAGCGGGAGAAAGACAAGGTAGAGGGACCTGTTATTTGGATCCATTGATTTTACAGAAGTTTACAGGATTCAAAAAACTGTTTCGCTGATGTTCTGTACATTGTTTGACACTTAGAGAGAAAACACACACACACACACTCACTGCCTGTATCTTACATTCACTACTGGGTCATTACTGTTGGACGCCCTAAATAAGTGAACGGTCCTGTCGGTTTCCCTGATATGGAGAATGGAATTGACTGCACTGATGATTAGAGGATATTTAGCCACATGAAGGGATAAATAAGGGACTTGGCTGTTCTCTCTTGCATGTTTTCAACTTAGGAGTTTGTCAGTTCTCGTCGGTTTTCTCCTCAGCTTGACTCCGCTAACTAACTGATATCCATTAACCTCTAATCTTTCCTCTACCTCGTCAGCAGTCAAGTCTCGGGACCTCTGATCCACTTTGCTCACCTTTTTCCTCCCTGTGTGCATGACAGACTCTGTCGGTCCAGACACCTGTCCTCTAGTGGCTGTGTGGGCTCTGCAGTCTTTGGTTGTAGTACCAGCAAGAGAGTTTTATGATGATGTTCCAGTAGCTGAAACTACCTGCATGTCCTCTATAGTTCATATAGAGCTCCCTATGTTCTCCTTTTACCTACATCCAACACATTCAAGCACTCACAAGAACGATAAAGCACAAAGTCAACTCTTGTTGAGTTAGTTTTATTTGAGGATGAAGTCATTGTGTTAGGTAACCATGAGAAGTGACAGCTCCGGCCAGATGCCTCAGGTGTTACCTGCAGCTGACCAAAACATTATTGCCGTTATGTTACAAAAAAGAAGTTCTTGAAGTTTCTTTTAACTGTTCTAAGCTCTGTGTTGTAACAAAACCAAAAAAAGAAACTACCTCTTTGTGTTTGATGTGTAAAACCAAAAGTCCTCTCGGACTGGCAGCACAAACAGAGTTTCCCTCTAAAAGACAGAGTGTCTTCTGAAGCCACCTTTGTTTCTACACGACTAATAGCAGCAAAGTTAGTCGTTATTGATCGATCCCTAAGTTTGAAAGTGGAGCAGCGCCCAGGAGAGACTGTACTTAAACTGTCACTACTGTCAAGTTAATGTTGCTCAGTTAGCAATGACTTTTTAAATGTTTCTGCAGGGTTAGGGTTAGGGGGGTTACAAAAATGTGTCTAGAAACGTAAGCTTTGAATTGTAAAGGTTTGTGAAATGTATTTGTCATTGTTCTGTAGTATACATGTGTCATCCCCATGGTTTTGTAACAACTTCCTGTGCCCAGCCAAGCCCTAAAAATCTGCCACAACAAGTCTTTTGCTAACACTTTGCAGTTTTTTTTGCACGGCGTGGATATTGAGAAGTGTGTTTTTCTCTCTGGCTCTCTATCTCTCTCTATCTCTCCCCTCACCCCATCCATCCTATGTGTGGGTGTGTGTTGTGTCTTTCTAGGAGAGGGCTAATGTTGAGGCCGAGCGTCGGGCCCTGCAGAGCCTCCAGGAGGGCTACGCTGAGCTGAAGAACCAGCTTCATAACTGTCCTGAGTCCCTGCGGGAACAGTTGCAGGAACAGCTCAAAAGGGTGGGTCGTCAAGTCCAGCAGAAGCACCTAGAGACCACCCCCTCACCTGCCGGCCTTGGTTGCATTAGCCTGCCGCGATTGAAACGTCACCCCACACGCACCTCCCTCCTGTCTTTATAGATCGTAGCACCAACCCGGTTTCCTCCAACTCTGCAGCCACACAGTTATCTTCTTTTAAATAGACTGTAAATTTAGAATTTATAACAACTGGAGTTTTAACTAGCTTCTAGCAAGCTTACTATCTCAGCCTTTGAGTCAAGTGATTTAATGTTACTTAGCTACCATTAATATTTAAATGTATTAAAGTAAGAATTACTTTATCATGTTGTTTCTGAAATAACAACCTATCAAACAGAAAACTTATATACAAGACAAATGTAAATCTCTTTAATTTACTTCTCTCGGCCTTTGTAGGGCATTGCATGTGCCACCACACACACAGTGCTACTGGCCTGACCTTTAACCCTTCAGCACACAGTTTACATGCACACGCGCTCTCTGCGTAATCATGAGGCGCCCTCTTAGTGCCCCGCTGCAGGAATTCTCACTCTCGCCGCACCTACGTGCTACTGGGGCCTCTGGGTCGACACAGGAGCACACGAATGGCCCCCGGTCACTTCAGCTGCTAGTGATGCATTTTGGTTAAACGTGCTCCATGTAATTTGACCCCCTCCCCGCTGCAACGCATGCCCCATCTGATGTGCATCTCCTCTGTGATTTGTCATGGCTTGCATAATTTGTATAACTCCTCACTAATCAATTAACATACGCCCTGACTGGATCAATTCTGTGTCTGTGCTTAATCTCATCCTTTGACTTCTCTTATGGAAATTACTGTCAAATGTGCATTTAGCTTTTTTTTTTCCTTATCAGGATGGTAAAAACATGCAGTTTTACCAGACAGAATGAGATTGTCAGTCATTTGTCTGGGTCCCACTCAGGGAGCAGCCAGTCGATATGAAGTCTGAGATCAGGATGTTGTGACGGGCAGGTGGGAATTTCAGGTTCAGTCAGGAGAGCAGAAACACATTTCAGTCAGTGGTGTAAAGCAGGATAAAGTCAACAAACAAAGAACAGAGGTTGCTCCCGAGGTGTTTAGCTGTTTGATATCTGAGTCCTCAGTTCCTGTGTTTTGATCACTTGTAAAAAAAATAAGTCTTTTTCATCACACACATGCATGTCAGTGACTTGACATTGCAGGCAGTTGGGTCACAGGAGCTACACGCCGACAGAAAGGACTCTAAGTATAAATATGAACTTACTTATTGACTTTATATTAATTACTTTCATTGCAGACATTGCTGCATTTGTACAGTAATTAAGATTACCCCCCCCCATCCCACTCCCCATATCCTGTAGTATATCTAATGATGAAACACCAGTAGCTGTGCTGCAGTAGGAGCATGTGTTTCACGACTGCCTGTTTGACTCAGAACGAGCTTTAGCCATGCTGGGAGAAATATTTTTAAACTATTTCATGCATAAGTGTCAAATGTGTTTTTGCTTTGCTGTCAGCAGTAATGCTAGTCCGGTGATAGAGGATGGCTTCAAAATGAGCAATGTAAACGGTACGTTTTTATGTTTATGATGTAACCGCTGATAATGTGCGCGCACCTCCATCAGGACGGAGAGGCGCTGGAAGCAGGAACCAAAAAGTTTGAGGACCTGGAGTTTCAGCAGCTGGAGAGAGAGAGCAGCCTGGAGGAGGAGAGAGAAACCATCAGCCAGCAGCTGCTCCAGGAAAGAGCGGAGTACCACAGCAGCGTGGCCAAGCGGAAGGTGAGGAAACGCCTGATAGAGGAACACGAACAATAGTAGATCAAGATTATGCTCTTAACAATATGGTTTTCTGTGTTAGAGATGAAACTGCCAGTGGCAAGTAACATACTCAGCTATTCAGTCTCTATTTAGTCTGACCTTATTTTTACAAAGTTGTGCAATAGTTGCTGTGCTGCTTGCATTGGAAATGTAATTTTTTTTTATGTTGTCCTCTGCACAGGAGAAGGTGTCTGCTCTAGAGAACCAGGCCAACCAGCTCAGCCTGCAGGCGTCTCAGGAGTGTGAGCGTTTGGCTAAAGACAGAGGCCTCACTCTGCAAATGCTCCAAAAGGTACAAACTCATCTGTCAGTGCATTAAATAGTTTTCAGTTTAAAACAGGATATTTGAAGGTATAGAGATTGTGTATTTTATATTTAACTTAATAATAAGGAGTTTACAAGAATACTGATGTTTCAGGCACATTATCAATCAATCAAAATTAGACTGTATAGCCAATATTTACAAATCACAATTTTCCTCATAGGTCTTATAAAGGTGCAGGATCCTCTTCCCTTTAGAGTAATGAAAAACTATTTAACACAGAAACCTCAGCGAGTCACAAGTGAGGGGACCCCCCCTTTCTAACATAAATGGGGAATCTGTATGTTTACGCTCCAGGAGAAGGAGAGACTGTCAGCGCTGGAGAAGAGATACCATAACCTGACTGGAGGAAAGAGCTTCCCCAAGTCCTCCACTGCGATGAGAGAGGTGAGAGAACGGCTGAGGCTCAGTGCGTATCTGGTGAAAACAAACACTCATTCACACTCAGTGCTCCGGGCTTGAACACAACACAGAGCTTTGATGACTCACAGCTGATCCTTCACCACGTTCACCTCTTTAACTGGCTGTGATTTGTTGCAGTGCAGACTCATGGGTAATCCTTTGGCTGCTACACGTGGTGAAATCACTCTAATCCGCAGATTTCTGTTGTAATTGAAATGCTTTTTTCATGATGAGCTCTCAATTATTATTGTGTAGAGTCAACTAACTCATATTTCAGTGTATAACTTGCTAACATGTTGTCAGTGGTCAAGGCTGCCTGAGGGACGGCAAGTCAACAGGCATTGAACACACTTATTCCCTGACTGTTGAAACAGGAAATGCTCCAAATCCGTGAGGCTGACCTGTTGTCGGAGGATGTCCACTCCTCCCAGCATTCCCTCTGTCAAGCCTCTCCTCCCTACTTACATCCCTCCCCTTCTTGTCAGTTGTACCCCAGCAGCCCTACGGAGGTAATCAGACTAATGATCCCCCCGCATGAAGCCCACTACTCCCTCATGGCTTTTATGCAACTCACCCCAAAGGTCACTCATTGCACTGTGGGTGTCGTGCTTGCGCTGTGGCTATAATTTCGCCTGTGATGTATTGTGCTGCACTATGTTGGCTGAGGTGTTTGATCATAATTAATGATCGTTAAGAGGAGCAAGCACTGACGCTTTAGGCTGAAGTTGGGTTTTGTCCAGGGATGTAGTGGATTAACTCAAGATTAACTCACCTACAGTCTCCCTCTGCTCACAGAGAAGAATCAACGCTCTCCTCTCACAGTTCTTTATTTGCATTATGATCAACCAGAGGTGACAATTTTTTGTTTTGCTTATCAGACACTACATCACTGGTTGTTGTGAAAACCAACAGTGCCTGTTTGCGACCTGATTGTGTGTCCGCTACGTGTGACGCTAAAGATGCACTGTGTTTGTTGCTTAGTGTGTTCCTGTCTCTCACACACACACACACACACACACACACACACACACACACACACACACACTCACACTCACACTCACACACACACTCACACTCACACTCACAGGCTGCTGATGAAATTCAATTCACCTCAAATATGGATGGAGTGGAAATGTACCTGTTCACTAATAGTAATATTACAACCTCTCTCTCATAACACTCGCACTGTGCATGTTTTATTTAATATCACAACAACCACTGAACACACGGGCCCGGTTGTTGGCTCAAGACATAATCTCTAAACCAAAAGGTTCAAGGCATTGTGGGAGGCCTCTGTTCTGTGTCTGCGTTTAAATCTGTGTTCTTATATTTTACACTGCGTTGTCCTCATGGCTTCTCATCTCGTCTGACTGTTGTTGGCTGCTTGCCTCAGGAGTATATGAAGCTGTCGGACGTTTATAAGATGTACGGCGGTGGCCGCCATGGCAGCAGCAAGCCCGCCTCACACGGCCAAGCGTTTGCCATAGATGCTACATTAGCTGGCGCCTGCGAGGTACCATCACTTCCTGTCTGTCTCCCCTCTGACTTGTTTCTGCCTCTAACTCACTCTGTCTTCACATCCCTGCGTTTTCATGTCACGCTGCTCCCTCTGCTGGCTTGTTGTGAATCAGCCTGACGTTACTGTTGTTGTGCTCACCCTCTGTATCTGTGAGGCAGTGTTCATTTACAGCTGTGACTGGATCATAGCAGAAATCAGGGTTTTTTAATTCATAACTTATAAATTCATGAGACTCTGTCTAAGTCATATTAAAAACATTTCTGTTTTTGAAACTTAACTAAATTCAAATGAAAGACAGAAAGTTCATTCGCTCGTACTAACCCCTGGATGTTGGTGGTGAATGATGAGGCCAGTGACGGTTGCGTTCACCCGTCTGGCCCTGATGCAGATTGTGTGTGTTGTGTTGCCCTTTGCTGTTTGTTTTAATCCGGTCTGTGTTTCGTTTCACGTCCCTGCCTCCCTCACGCCTTCATGATGCAGTAGGTCACTGCTCGATAAGTTTCCCACCCGTTGCTTCTCCTGCTGACGTGTCTGTCTTCACCTTCTCTCTCTCTCTCTCTCTCTCTCTCTCTCTCTTCCTTGCTCCTTCTCCACCTGTGTGTGTGTGTGTGTGTTGTGGAAGGACTATGTGACGGTGGGCCAGTTAAATCAGATGTATGGGATGCCAAAGGTGGAGTCGTCCCCTACCTCCCCGCTTCGCCAGCCCCTGCAGTCTGGAGTGGTAGACCCCGCCTTCTCCTGCCTCCCCTCGCCTCACGGCTCCTCCCTGTCTCTCTCTGTGGAGGTGTGTGCTGTTCTTCCCTTCTCTTCTCCCACTGACCATCTGTGTGCTCGCTCTCTTGTTTGAGGTTGTAAGGGCTGAGAGGCTGAGAGGAAAAGTGATATAGCAGATATTTTTGCCTCATCGCTAATATTCATTCACAACGGCTCTGTTCCATCAAGTGTCTGAGGAAACAGTCCCAGTGGGCCAGGAAGTGCAAAACCAAACCCTGGACCTGGTGTCTCAACAGAGCTGCAGTCGAACACAACAAGAAAGTTTTATTGCCCCTTGTTTTTTAACGTTTTTCAACCATTTGCTGTTCGGTTGAGTTGAAGCGTGACACTCAAGAATTAGGCATCAGCATCGTCATCTCTGGATCAATGAATCATGGGATCAGTTGGGCAGAAAATAATCCATGAAGCCTCCATTAATGTTATTAATTACATATTTATCTTTTCCTGCTTTGACAAGAGTAAATGTCTGCTGTGAAAGAAGCCTGTTGTTTTACCTCATCAACATGGTTCCCAGACAAATTCAAATTTATTAAACTAAATACAATATAAATCCTTAATCCATAATATATATATTTTTTAAATACAGTGAATTTTACATGCAGAATAACAGATCAATCAAACTTTAACTTCGGAGCATGAATAAAAAAATTATACTTATTTTTCATTTTCCCTGCTCTTTCTGGAGCAACGATGATTTAAAGTTCTGCAGCCGTCAGCAGTTCCTTCTCTCCTTTTTTGCACTGCATTGTGGGAGAACAGTGTACATCAAACATTGACTGCACTTAGTATGCAAACTGTCTGCTTTAAGTATAGTTTATTTTTCACTTAAATGAGACAGCCCTCCCCCCTTTTTTGTCTTCTAATTGCCTCCATCCTTTGTATAACGGTGCTTTGCTCCGCCGTGCATCTCCTCCTCCAAGTCCAGGCACAAAAATGAAATCTGTTTTGACTTACTTAAAGATGTAGTCAGTGTATATTGCTTTAAGCACAGTAAAACACTGAAGCCCATGGTGCTGCTGAAGTCTGGAGCTGTTGCTGTCTGTTGCAGTGCAGCTTTGCGTGAAGTCACAGACGTCCATTGTTTCCAAAGATGTGCTGCAAGCCGCTAACAGTCATTCTGATCATTTTACTTATGTAATCCAGCACATTTGATATCACATGTGTTGCATTTTTTTTTCCCACCCAGTCATTGCTTCTGTAGCCTCGAATTAGATTGTCGCATCTGTATTGAATTTGAATAAGTCCCTGTTATCACGTCGTTTCCACCAGAAGAAGACTGTGGTGCAGGGAAGGAAAACAAATGAGGACAGTTCGACATGGTGATTATCGGCCAATGCCGGTCATGTGAGCGGCAGCTATGTGTGCAGTATTTCTCAGTCAGCTGTTAAAAAAAGTGTTGCAGAACTATTGAGATGTAACAGACAAAAGTAAAAACCTAAACAATAACAGCTGCAAAATAACAAAACTAATTCTCATGTCATTCCTTAAGATCCATTAACTCCAGAGCTCCGGAGACACTGTGGGCATCATGGTCCAAGGAAAGCTGAAGTGAAAATTAGAGGAAAACTTGAATGTTCTTGTGAGAAACTGGGTCAATGCAGAAGAAGTAAAATACATTTTAAGAAGAGATTGAGCAGCTGCAGGGTAAAAAGCATAAAGCAGCCGAGAACAATAAAGTGTTGCAGATATTTAATTTCCAAAGCATAAAAAACCTTAATTACAGCTTTTGAGAGTGTATAAAGCAAATGTTCCTGCCATCTTCCTTCCTACTGTCTTTGAATGCTTTCTAATCTTTTTCTTCTCCTCTTTTTTCACTCTCCTCTCTCCTCTCCTCCACCCTCTCTCCTGCTGTGCCGCTCCCTCTGTGTGCTCTCCAGTACCAGTCTGAGGGCAGCAGGCCTCACCTGCCCAAGCTAGATTTAGAGCAGTGGTACCAGGAGCTGATGGCTGACTCCGGCCAGCTATGTCCTCCCTCTCTGCCAGTCAAGTCTCTCTCGGGCCGCAGGCCTGTGCTGCAGGTAGAGGGCCTCCTTTCCTCTTTCTCCTCATTTTGTCCCCACTCGTCCTTTCTGCTGTTTGTGCGTGTTTCGAGGGATGGGGTAGGTTCACTGTTGTCATAGTCATCACTGCTGTGATACTACGCCATAATATTAAATGTGCAATATGAGGAGGCGTCAAAATAAATGTGTAGACAACCAGCGCCAGTGGAGCACGTCCACCAAAACCACACCAGTGTCATCTCACGCATCTTTTACCCCTGGCACACCATAAAGGCCAAGACTAGTAAGAGATAAAAACAAATCATGGACAGGCTTCTTCTCCCGAAACCTGAAAATAATATCTTTATATGATACCGTCACCATCGAAACATGAAAAATACACTTATGTTAATGTCCGGTCATATTGCCCACCACATGCGTTTCACTCTGCTGCTCCAGACTCACACCCAGAGAAGAAGTTGGCTCTGTGTGTTTTACCAAGAGGATGAAAATAAATCTTTTTCATGTCAGCTGTGTCATCATGCTGCCTTCACATCAGAAATAAAAAGTTTGCTCTGACAGTCCCCCTTGAAGCCTCTTGAAAGCACAAGACACCACAACAGTTCAGTGTGACACACTTTGAAGAGACGTTCCAGGTCACAGATGTGTGCTGTGAGCTTCTCTCTTATTTTCACTGTCTCCTTTGGTGTAAAACATGAAGCCATTTATGTGCTTAAGGTTGGAATAAAAGTGAGAGTAGCTGTCTGCAGCACGAGTCCGCAAGAGACTTCAATCACTGCTTCATGTCAGTTTTTACGTCTTTACTTTGAACGAGTCCACACAGTTAAAGTTAAAGTACAGAAATGCGGCATTAGCTTTAAGTGGCCTTATTAATGACGAGGGGCGCTGCTGCTGCATCAGTGTTGTGTGTCTGTGTTGCCTGCTGTCACTGATGTTTCTCAATGCGGGCATGAAATACACACTGGAATAAATTTAAGATTTCGGGATGCCAGCCCTTTATCTACTGTGACTACATCAGTGATAAATAATCCCTGCATCATGCTTATCATGTTTTTAACCACAAGTTTCCATCAGGTTCTCACAACTCATCCATGGCGGACGTCAGTTGTATTTATAACCTTGTTCTAACAAGTCTGCCGTTACATTGTCTGGTTTTAACACCTAAAGTCAGTGATTCCCAATATTGACACCTACATCCTGTGTGGGTCCTCACTCAGGTGTTCCGCTCCAAGCTGGACAGTGATCCAGGCCTTTCTCTCTATCAGCCCAAGTCTGGCTCCTCGTCGCCCCTGCAGCACGGGGCAGCGACGCTGGGACGCAACACCAGCTCCAAGGTAGCCTTCAATCTCACATCCTCTTTGGGAATGTCGAGCTCACTTCTGCAATCTAGATGATTATTTGAACCAAATATATAAACCCGGGTTTGGACGTTACATTCTGATATTCTTGTCCGCTCCCTCTGACCCAGCAGAGCCCCCTGCTGGTGGCCAACAGCACCGGCAGTCTGCCCAGGAACCTGGCTGCGACGCTGCAGGACATAGAGACCAAGAGACAGCTCGCTCTGCAGCAGAAAGGTGAGTGACCTGCTCTGCACCGGAGTTACACTAAACATCAACACGTCTTCACACTGAAAAATCCATGAAGCAGGTAACATATATCTGTCCAAGCATAACACAGGCATCCAACATTTTTTACTCATTAATGACAATAGACATGTTGCAAACAATGAAACCATAGATCAGTTTAACCACGATAAACGAGCTTTAACATATAACGACACAGTTAATGCAGGAAATAAATATTTGCTTTTCTCAGTCAACTCCCGTCATCTCGGGAACCAACCCCTCCAAGGGATTGCAAGATAAATGTGAGGTGTCGTAAGACAACAGGATAGTAAAGCGAAGATAAAAGAAACCATTTGCAGCAGAGGGTTTTTTTTAGTTGGTCTTTAATCTATTTGTTTTTTTGTCTTTCTTCAGGCCTGGAGTAAAAAAAAAAAAAAAACCCCATTCCTTTTGTGCTAAATTGGTACCTGTATGTAAAGTATGCATGTGCAGGGGATGACATTAAGGGGTTACAAGCACATTTCTTGAGATAAATTTAACTTCACTGCAGCTTTAAGTGTTTGACATAGAAAAGCAGACGGAGAAAATAAAGGACAGCAGCGTCTGAGGAGCAGACATGAACGATATATTTGTCTGTGAGAACAGAGTAAAACATCAGATATTCAGCAGTAGTTGGCGCCTTCAGCAGTGCACACTCATATTCTCATTAACTTGTTAGTGGTTATTGTGAAGTGTTGCCATGCTCTCTTTCATTGAGCTCCTTGTGTGTGTGTGTGTGTGTGTGTGTGCGCGACATTAGAGAACAGTGTTGCTGTTTGACTAAATGGATCAGAGCAAAGCAGCTGTCTGGTGCTTAAGCTCAGCTGGCTGCCACCCACGGGTGCTGCGTATGGAAATGGGAGCTGGTCACACTCGTCTGCAGTTCAGGGTTTCCTCACGTCTCTGTCTTTGTCTGTGAATTTGTCTCTTCCTGTGCTGTTGCACCACAGAGCCCCAGACCTCCAGACAGAACACCGTAGAGGAAAGCTCAGCAGGTAGCTGGATCACAGTGTCCAGGAGTCCATGAGTTCTCTTGTTTTCTTCATTTTGTTCAGCGGGACTCGGCATCTCTTTTCTCTCTCTTTTCTCTCTCTTCTCTCTCTCTTTTCTCATCTGCTGTCTCTCGTCATACGTCACATGCGGTGTCTGAAATTAACAGTTTTTCTGCCATGAACAATGTCACGTTCACCCTTGAATCCCTGAAAATGTGGTAAAATCACTCCAGCTGTTTTTCTGAAATTCAGATATTCTCCCGACATTCTCAGGAGGGGCTGAATGTGAGAACCCAAATGTCCCAGTTCAGACGTTCTCCTGAGGTTAAAGCTCCTCAGGATTCACTGCCAGCGACAGACGCAAAAATGAAAAAAACAAAATATCTCAGGTTGAATAAGCTCTGACACATGACAAAGATGTCAAGAGAGCTTTTGTTGTTGACGCCAGACGTCTGCGTCTTTGTGCCATAAACAAAAACACATTATCTCTGCAGCAGAATTTATACGTTACATCCTGACTTTTTTTTTTATTTTTTTTTTTTTACCACTTCTCACCTGCACTCACGCTCCGGAGATTTCTGTGTTATTGTGAATGCATCAGAGCGGAGAATCTCCTGCGGCGTTGCTCTCGTTACTGAAAGTCTGGACCCAGTTTTACAGACATCCTCCAGAGTTTGTGTCTGAAAAAAAACAGCTTTGCAGAGTTTACATTCATCATTCAGATAAATTCAATCAGCAGCCTTCACACTTCAATACGGATAATAACCGTAAAACTTTGTCCATGTGTAAAACCAGTCTGGCAGGTTACCTCTGTTGATTTCTCCATCAAAGGAGATGTTTACCAGAAAGTGACTGTTAATTTCAGATCCTGCCCCCCCCCTTCTCTTCCATCTCTGGCGTGTCATTAACTCCCCCCCCCACCCAAAAGATTTCTTTTCATCTTTTCTCTTTTATCTGTAACATCGAACGCTCTTTCTCGTTCCATCAATCTTCTATGAACGTTCCTGCTTGTGGAGAATAAATCTTGCATGTTCAGTGTTCGGTGCGCTGCTCCTCCTCTGGAGTTCACCAACCTTGACGCCTCTGTCCAGATGTATCTGCCCGACATCAGGTGCTCACAGCAGCATGGGTGTGAAACGTGACAAGTGAGATGGATACTTGTGCTTAACATTCGCTCCAACTCTGTGGTGATTTATTTCGGGTTTTCACAGATGTCTTCGACCCTGTGATTCTGAGAGAGCACATACTTGTATGTGTGGTGCATGGTTTATGGTCTTGTAGTCTGTGGGCTGGTGCTGGTTGTATATTTTGTGCATCTTCAGTCGTAGATGCTTGGGACGACCTCCTCCACAGCGACTGTAGGAAACAGACAGGCCTCTGCCGGTGTGTTGATGGTTTTGCTCGCAGGGTCTCGGTTCAGTCATTGAACCTGATCAGATCAAAATCCACTCATCTGCTCCCTCCCTCCCTCCCTCCCTCCAGGTCAGCAGGTGATCGAGGAGCAGCGCCGTCGACTGGCCGAGCTCAAGCAGCGAGCGGCGGTGGAAGCTCAGTGCCAGTGGGAGGCGCTCCATGGCTCTCAGACCCACCTCATGTCCGCGTCCCCCTCGTCGTCCTCTTACTCCCCCGTCATGACCTACAGCCCCACGCTGAGCCACAGCTCTGTGGGGCYCCCACCTCTGGTTCACCACTCCATCCTGCACCACCAACCCCCGTCGGCCGGAGAGCAGCCCTACGACACCCTGAGCCTGGAGAGCTCGGACAGCATGGACACCAGCATATCCACGGGAAACAACTCGGCCTGCTCGCCAGATAACATGTCCAGGTACGATTGAGGAAGAGACACACGAGTCACGGCCCAGATCTATATATTGATCACTTACTCAGTCAAGTCATTGTTCATCTGACGACATGAACCAGAATTAATATGACTGATTACATATGTTTCACAGAAGTTCTGCTCAGACTGTGTAAGAGAGTAAAGAGTGTAGTAACACACATCAGGAAATATTGAAACAAAACATTGGAAGAAGTTCGGCTCATCAGAAGGTCGGTGGTTTGATCCCCGGCTCCTGTTACTGAATCCAACATTTGCGGTGCTAGTTGTACCATCTCTGTGTGTGTGTGTTTGTTAGTGTGTGTGTTTGTGTGTTTTTCCAGTAAAACTAAGAACAAAAATGATCATTTCCACTGAATATCTAACAAAATATTGTCTGTATGATTAACGATTACTTCGGGCATCTTTAAACCAAACAGATCAGTATTGAAGTGCTAAAGTCAGACTCCACATGCACGCACCCACCCACAGACACACAACAAACACAAACACTTGTACATCTGTCTTAGTTAAGACACTCATTTGTATAAAGCGTTCCCTAGCCCCCTAGCCTAAACCTAATTCTAATCCTACCCCTGAAACCAAGTCTGAACCCAGAAGCAGCTCATTAGAAGTGGCTCCGAAAGTGACAACCGGCCAAAACTGTCCTCACTTTATAGGTTGTAGGCGTAAAATGGTCCTCACAAAGATATCTGCACAAATACACACACACAGCTCTGCACCACTCAAAGTCTTTATCCACAGGTCGGTTAATTTGGAGACCATCTGTCCATGTGACTGTGACTCTAAGCTGTGTTCTGTATCACAAGTGTTCACCACAGCAGGCTCCCAGCAGCACACACTGTTCATATCTCCTTTATAGCTCTCACGAGTGCAATTCCAAAAGCTATTAATGCTACTTTTATTTTTTGGGGATGACGTTAATGGGATTTGTTGTTTTTTTTAAAATGAAGAACGCAGAGTAAAGACGGGACGGAGGAAATGGTGAAGGAGACGCAAAGTTTATGAGCCATGATTTGGCCAAGACACAGTTTCATAGCCTTATCTCAGTTACTCATTTGCTATGATTTCATGAAGATATAAATTCTTCATTAAAATATCTAAAAACAACTCCACCTGCAATGTTAAATATAAATGTATGTTCCCAATTTTATTCAAGGGACCAGCACGTTTGGTTTGGTTTTAATTAAGTTTTACCCGTGGCTTTGCTTGTCTCTGCTGTAACTTCAGGGCCTGACAACATTTCCTTCTGCTGTTCGTATCGTCATGGATCCTGATTATTCATTGCTGTTTGCTACGTAACGTGAATATCTTATTGTTTTGATTGAAAGCCCCCCCCCCCCCTGCTGACAAAGTACAAAGTTGTAAGTTTAACAAAACAGAAACATTTCCACCCTCCCTATTCATTTAGGTTATTTTAACACACACTGTTTTTTTTCCATCTGTGAAATAAGTAATAGCTTCATGTCCCTGTTATTTACAAAGTTGCATCATATAATGGGCACACTTACTTGGAGCTGTTAGGAAAAACTACATATTTACAAATGGGGCAAAGATTCTTAGGTAGAGGAGCTGTTATCACTGTGCTCCAGTGAGAAAATCCATAGACGGACTGAAGATGTCTATATTTCATCATATTTTCACTCACAGATCCTCACAGCACAATAACATCAATTTTTAAATACATTTACCTGCTTGAAGCTCTCATCCAGTGCCGCTCCGCAAACTCTCTGGAAACTAAAGCAGGATCAGACTGGTGGAAAACAAACCGACACGTCTTCCTCAGATCTCGTCCAATCAGTGTCAGCCGCCACCGATGCACAGCGTTCGGCTGTTTAAGTGGACCCATGTTGTACTATTGAACCAGGTTGCACTGGACTTTGATGGAAAGCTTCATATTTCAAGGTCTAATTCACGTCTTTGGTTAAATCTCCTTCATCCATTCCACCAAAATGGCCCTGTGGATAAAGATCATGTTTGAAACCTTCCAAATAAGATTGATTTGTGTGGTTGTTGCTTTAGGTTATGACAGTTAAAATCTTGGTGTGAATGCACAAATTAAAATTTTTGTTGTTGTTGTGTTTGTGACCAGTGTCGGAGGAGTGGACACCCTGAAGATAGAGGAGATGGAGAAAATGCTGAAGGAGGCGCAGCTGGAGAAAGCCAGACTTATTGAATCGAGGGTAAGACAACTTCAAGGCTGCGTGTTGCTGCATCCGACCGTGATTATCTTGAATCCATACACAGTGACTGATGAGAGCTCTTACAGCGCTCCTGTCAATAGTTTTCTTTTTTTGAATAAAGGCCATGACAGCAGCTCAGTCCTTTTTATCGGCCTCCTTGTTTCAGTCCTCTTTGTGCTCTGATGAGGAAGTTTAGTGTGAGGCCAATAATCACGGTCCAATCAGTTTTCTGCTCTGAGGCGTTTTCGCTCACATTTCTCTTCACTCTGATGAACGTCCATCTTCACACAACTTTTTACAAGTTATTCTGTATTTATTGATTTAATCCTGGTTTGAGACTAAGGGAACTCACTGAAAACAGAGCCCTCTCTCACCGCGCTGTCTTGTTAAATGAGCGTGTTCACTCAGATTTCACATTTTTAAGAGCAGAGTCATTTGACCCTGGAGTGATTACTGATTAAATCCATTTCCATTGCAAACAAAACCCAGAGTGGATGTTAGTTGTTTTTTTGGGCTATAGGCATATTATGTATCTTTAAAACCTTTATAACTGTTTTTCAATTATCACAAAGCTCATTAACACATGAAACTCGTCAGTCGACGTCAGTGTCTGAGGAGCAGCATGCTGCTCAGGAAGTGTACGGCAATGTACATTAATGCATGAACGTGAGGCTGAGTTCTGGCTGAAAAACTCTGCCGTGCCGCCTTCCACAGATCAAAACATTTATTTAACGAAAGCACTCTCCTCTAGGAGCGAGAGGGCCTGGTCCGCCGTCAGATGCTGGAGGAGGAGAGGAGGAGGAGGGAGGAGGCGGAGAAAAGGCTACAGGATGAAACTTTCCATCGGCAGCAGCTGGTGGAGAAAGAGGTCAAAATGAGGGCCAAGAACTTCTCTCAGGTCAGTGAAATGAGACATAATTCAGTCTGCACGCTAGAAAGGTGTGAAATCACTTCAGCTGCCTGCTGAAAACATGACAGGGGCTTCACAGATGTGGGCTCCTGTAGGTAAATATCTACTTTTTCCAGACTGGTAAAATTGTATTGATGTGTGCCAGTATTCAACATTATCACATATCCATTCCAGTATTTTGTTGTGTTCATAATTAAAAGAAAAAACAACTGCAAAAAACAACACTGGACACTCTGACATACTGTCCCCATCTCAACTTGCACTCGCCTTGTTGTGCAAGTTGTTTAATAACCCTGTATTTTTTTTTGTCTGACTGTTGATTCAGGCCCGTCCTATGACGCGCTACCTGCCCATCAGGAAGGAGGAGTTCGACCTGCGCTCTCACGTGGAGTCGTCGGGCCACAGCGTGGACACCTGCTACCACGTCATCCTCACTGAGAAGATGTGCAAGGGCTACCTGGTCAAGATGGGCGGCAAGATCAAGTCCTGGAAGAAACGCTGGTTCGTCTTTGACCGCCTCAAAAGGACTCTCTCCTACTACGTTGGTGAGAAGAGATTCATGTTCTTATTTGGTTTCAGGGACACTGGTGATTTGGTCCTTTTGACAAATGGCTCACTGAGGCATTAGTCTCAAAAAAACTTTATTACTGCTCAGGAATTTGTTTTGTCTGCCGCAAAAACTGTGGGAGGTAAAAGTGGGTTTACTCTCTATTCCCTTTATGACCACAGGTAAAATATTTATCTGTAACACCACATTGTTCATGTCAGAGACGTGCAGCAGGTATAGAAGAAAAACAACATAGATTCACAAGAATTAACAGAATTTTCAGATTTCAGAACTAAAAACAACTTTGGATGAGAACAATCAGAGGAAACAAGATTATTAAATTGTAGAAGAAAAGAAAGTTAAGTGATGTGAGACGTTACAGCTAAAATAACTATATGACCAAATATTTAAAACAAAAACACAATTGCTGGAAGGTTTAAGATAAAAATTTCAGAAACGACCCAGGGGTAGAAGTGTACTTCGTTTAAGGATGTGCTTTATTTTGTTCCACGAGTGGAACAGGAGGTAAAAGCCGGTCGGTTGAGTGGATGTGATAATTAAGGCCATCTGGTAGTATGTAAAGTCCTAATCTGTTATGCAGCGCAGTAAAAAAAAAGTATGATATTTAGGTTCAACACTTAATTAAATGTCTATATACAAGTACCTCAAATGTTCCTGTAGGTCAGCTGTTATCTTGTGTCACAGCAGGCAGCAGCACAAACAGTCAGAACATGAAACATGTGTGGAAACGTCAGAGGTCTCAGATGGAAGATGTTTCTAAGGTTCAAAATGTAAAGAGGCAGAAATCAGCTGCCTCGCAGGAGTGACAGTGGGAACATGCGTCCTCCACACAGGTGAGCAGGCGTCGCATGTAGCGTGCACGCTCGTGTAATTGATCTCGGCTCCGTGAGCTCTGGGACACTTGTTTGCTGTCGGGCCTTTGAAGTCCTCAGAAGGTTCCGCTTAAAGCTTCTTAAAGCGTACCTCGTTGAAAGCGAGCCAGGGCGCGGAGGTGTTCTGAGATTACTCTGGCAGTAGTTAACATGCGCGCAGTGCAGCGCTCTCTGAGGACGCTGATTGAGATGCATCGCTTACCCTTGTCTCTTGACCTTGAACAGTTGAGTTAGCGCGGAGTGACGAGCATACGTCATGAGCGCCGCTGATTCTCGTTAATCACAGTAACAAGCAGGATTTTGGTGAATTTGGATGCAGTGTAATTGAGATGAGATGCAAACGCAGGGTTATTTGAATGCTAAAGAGGTCATTAGCAGATAATAGCTGCGTGTTAAGAGGAAAGTGTTATTCCTCGAAATGAAGCGCTGCATTTCTACCTACTACTCTTAAGTTGGCTTGTGGAGTGTTTGTGCCTGGAGGTAGAGAGGGGTGTTGAGTTCCCTAACGGTTCCTTACTGCAGTTCTGCAGTGGCTGATGAAACAAACTGCAATGATGTACAAGAGTAGCGTAAGAATGCAGTCAAGTCTGAAAACACAATGAGAGCACCATTGGTTTAAAAACAGCGGGAAAAGTGCTGTGCTTGTCTTTTTCCATCCGTCATTATGAACCATAGATTGGTCACGATCAAAGTTTGATTTTTTTAAAAAAAAATGTATTTCTGTTGTGACCGTTTCGTGCGTTCTCTGCTGTCGCTGTTTCAGGTGACTCAGACGTGATGTGCTCTGTGTGTTGTTCTCAATATATTGTTGTGTTATTTTTCTTCCCCACAGATAAACATGAGACCAAACTGAAGGGTGTGATCTACTTCCAGGCAATAGAAGAGGTCTATTATGATCACCTCCGCAGCGCCACAAAGGTAGGATTTTAATCAAGTCGGAAAACCACCATTTTCTCTCGATGTTGTTTCACAGTTTTCTCTTAATATTTTCATTCAACATGTTTTTTTTTTTTTCTTCCTCCTGTGGTTTGCCTCTTTTCTCTCTGTTTGTGCGTTTTTGCTTTGTTTGGCGGTTGTCACAGAGGAGATTTTTCAACTTGAATATGACCAGTGTATGTATCCTCGCTCTCTGTTCAGCCGTGTAACCCCACTGAACCCTGTGTGTACAATCCATCTGTGGTCGTTAGAGAATAGGAGGTGACGACGCACGGTGACCAGAAACTAAAGCAAAAAGGAAATGAGCACAAAGTGCACCGGTTTGAATCATTTGTGTTTGTGGGTTGAGTTGCTAATCCTGTTTGATCCCTCTCTGTCTGTCAGTGATCCCAGTGTGACCCAGTGGAGTGGTTTAAAGAGAGGAGCTTTCTTATTCATATCATTTTACTGTAACAGAGGAAAATATCCTCATGAAGTTTTTAAGAACAGTTCATTGTGTGTGTGTGTGTGTGT